GTTGGAATATTCATGTTGGAATATGAATACTACTCCCCAGAAAGCGCCAGACAGCAGAATAAGAAGAGTGAGTCATTTGACACAATAGTTTGATGTCTTCATCAGATGGCACCTTCCTGGTTACTTGAACACTGACAGTAGCGACAGGCCAGTGTCCCGGGATTTCTGGATGAAGCCTCACATGGGTCTGCTCACTTCTTCTATGGGACATGCTTTGGAAGCAATGCGCTGGGTCCTTACTCACGCAGATCCCTCGGGAATCTACTGAGTCTCACTGAACAGAGAGGGATGGATCATGTTCTTTGGGAAATGTCAACAGTTTGGCTTTCCACATGGGAAAGTCACAGAGAAATATTAGAAGGCTTGCCCTAGTGACTAGGGCTGGTGATAAGCATTCTTATTTCCAATATGATGGCATCTCTTACAAGCATCCTGCTTTCCTAATGGAAGACAAGCTCTTCTTTGAGCATTTGTTTGGGAGTCTTGTGGCACTGTAAAGCCAGGTAGAAATGACTGTCACCTTGGGAAAGCCAGAGCGTGCGTAAAGGTTTCTACCTGTCAGGGTAGGAAAACATCCAGACTTCCCAGTAAACACAGAATGACCGGAAAGCAATTGCTCTGTCTACTCAAAGGCAGAAACATGGCAAGGCCCAGAAAAGCAGGGCGGTCCTGTTGGGTTCTGAATCTCATAGGTATCCCTGGACATCCTATTTCGAGAACATTTCACCCAAGAGCAAGCGAAGTTACATGCCCCAAGGAACTGTGGTTAGCATGTTGATGATTTTGTTTTGGTTCTTAGGCAAAGCGTGTGGTTGGTATGAACTTTCCTTGGACTTGGTTCCAGTTCACGGTGGCTTCATGCATGTCTGCGTAGAACTGTGCTCTTTTCAGAAGGGGTTCAAAGCCATGCATTTGATAACAGACTTCCAGACCCGTTTTCTCTCGTGCTTGCGCATGGGTTTGAGCACCTAGCCAAGGACTGAGTGCCACCCAGCCACTCCTTCCCCTTCTGTTAAGGGGCAATGATGTATTTATTTATGAGGTCCGGTGCCATAGTTTTGATGCTATGCATTCTGCTTTTAGTGGATCATTTCTCCAAAGTGGACAGCCAATTCCTCGCTCATGGCACAATGAGCTAAGCATTGAGCTGGTGACCACATGGTTAGTGGATTGAATCTACCAGCCATTCCAAGAGAGAAAGAATGAGGCTTTCTGCTCCTGTTAAGATTTAAAATCTTGGAAACCCACAGGACCAATTCTACCATGTCATAAAGGATTGCTATGAGTTAGAGTTGACTCAAATCAGTGAGTTTGTTTTTCAGTCTGAATCTGTTTATACATAAATGTCCAATACCTATTTGTGGGCAATGGTATTGCAGACATATCCAGTAGATTGCTCATTTGACATCAGATCTGCCTACCCATCAACTTTTTTCTCAGTCCTTTCATACGTTTTTGGAATATTAGCAATATGATAGAAACATATTTTGGGCCTTTGTTTGCTTGTGTTTATGTAGGGGAGAAACAAATGGTAAGCAATCACTGGAGATACTTAGCTAAATTTTCTTAGAGGATCCTACCCAAACTTCCCAAACCCCATGGTGGTGAATGGAATTTGACTTGTGACAACATGTTGTTGTTGTTGTTGTTGTTAGGGGCGGTGGAGCTGGTTCTGATGCATAGTGACTTTATGTACACACACTACCTGGTCCCCAGATCGCTACTGTGTTTGAGTCCTTTGTTGCGGCCACTGCGCTGGTCTGTCTGGTTGAGGGTCTACTTTTGTACTTTACCGTCAGGTGTTCTTGCCGAGGGAACATTCACAGGTAGCAGCGGGTGGATACCTCATGCTTTAGGTACATGGGGGTAGAAAGGTCCTCAGTGAAGAGGTGAAATAGGGAAAGTGTAATGGCCAAGTCTCCTCTTAAATATCCGTACTTCTAGTTTCCAAAACCACACTACTGCCGTTGAGTTGGTTCTAACTGATAGCAAACCCATAAGATAGAGTAGAACCGCCTCTGTGGGTTTCTGAGACGGCCACCCTTTCAGGAGCAGACAGGCTTATCTTTCTCCTGTGGAGTGTCTGGTGGTTTTGAACTACCGACCTTCCATTTTGTAGCCCAGCTTGTAGCTGCGATGCTATGCTATCTTATCAGTTGCTACTAATTCCTATGAATTTCCCCTTTCCCATTCCTGTGGCCTTACCTGAAGCCTTCTGTTTTAGGCTGGGTTGACTAGAGAAACACATGCAGTGATGTTCAGGAGTGTATAAGAACGAGCTTTATATCAAGAAGTAGTTACAGATCAAGAAGGTTTTCCATCACAGTCCAAGTCCTGTACTAGTCCACAAGTCCCTCTTCAGATTCACATAGCCACATGCAATGATGCAGAATGCAGGAAGATCACAGGCTGCTGTGTAGATAGCAGTGTGGATCCAAAGTAAGTGGAAACTTGGCAGGGCTCCGGCAGCTCACAGGCTCAGTGGCAGAGAGAGGTGGAGGCTCCCCCGCCCCCAAGGAGACAGCATCAGGTGGACAGGTTGGATTCCACCCCTACACTTTTATACATCTTCAGTTCACATAAAAATATCTAACTGCCACATGTTCCCTTATGAATGGTCTGGAAATACAAATAATCTTTAAAAAGTGACCACCAAATCTATTCCATGAAGTTATCCTTAAGCCAAACAATAATGTTGCTCAATTAATAAGGAACGTTTTTCCTGAGCACTGAAATCCTTAAAAGAGTTAGCTCTATGAGTTAATCTTACAATGCTAAGGTTCAAATGAGTCTTTCAAGGTGCATAAACTCTAAATCAATACTGATGTACAATATCGATGGAGATAGTGAGAATGGTGACACATTGTGATTTATGATTACACAAAGTAAACTTTTATATACAAAGTATTCATATAGATAACAAGAGCTGGGTTTCACAGTGATCAAAAGTTTGTCACCAAAAATTAAAATTCCACATTTAGACACTTAAATCAGGGGCCTGAAAATTATGCTTCATGTGTTCAATCCTTCACGTCACTTGTTTCTATAAAGTTTTATTCAAACAGAGCCCTCCCCAAATTAAGTGATGTTCAAATTCTTCTTATAATTTCTTGTCAAACAACACATATCAAAAGGAGAATTACCGGGGGGGCCTGG